TACCGAGTCCTCTTTGAGGCCGAGTACGATATGATGATGATGATGCCCACAGAGGCGAATATTTTAAAAAGTTTTTATATATATATGTATTATGCATTTCATATCAATAACCCCAGAGACACTCAGATGTTACATGTTGTATCTCCTCTATCTCTCTCTTTACATTACTGTTCTTGTTTATGCTTTCCTGCCTAACATACTCGGTACTTTATTCATACTGACGTCCCTTTTACCTGGGGACGCTGCGTTTCATGACCGCAGGTCCCGATTGATAGGTTGACAGTCCTCCTAGTAGGCTATCAGCTCAGCGAAGGTGTTGGTGCACTCCACTTGCTCCGGAGTTGCCTAGTTGGTCAGTATGCTTTGGATATGTATTGATTGGTATGGTGGGGCCCTGTTCCGATATTTATGATTTTATTTACTCTTAGAGGCTTGTAGACAGATGTCAGTTGTAGGGACACTTGTATGGCCTTGTCGGCCTATGTTTTGAGTTTACAAATGGTCATGTCGGCCTTATAGGCCCGTATGTCACATATATAAGTTTGTATATCATTTTGGGTCTTCATATGTTGAGTATTCCCTTATGTTTTATTCTTGTTATCTCATGACGAGTTTTCTGGCTCCTTTACTCATGATAATATGATAAGAAAGATATGTTGCATTGGTACTCGGTTGAGTAAGGCACCGGGTGCCCATCGCGGCCTTCGGTTTGGGTCGTGACACGAATGTTAAGTAATTCGAGCGATGTCGAATGTTAAGTAATTCGAGCGACGTCGAATGTTAAGTAATTCGAGCGACGTCGAATGTTAAGTAATTCGAGCGACGTCGAATGCGGGATGCGAAAAAAAAACTTGATGGAGAGTAAAAATGTTGCTTTATTTCATTCATTGGAGAATATCTTGGTGGGGAGTTACAAAATGCTACTTTATTTCATTCACTGGAGAATGCTATACATGTCCGTTTCATACATATATTGGAGAAGTTTCCATGTATCTAGTCCCTTCATCGCTTGCCCTGGAGAAGCAGTCGGCAGGCGGGGTGATGAATCATACTTGAACTTCGAGACGTCCCCTTCGTCGCCTCATTAAAAACCTCCCTGAGAAAACCCAATTGGGACAAAATCCGGGTGAGGGAAAAAGAGTACCACTTGAGGGGCGTCCTTTTTCAGAAGTTGAAGTATTTGAGGTGGGCGACATTCCAATTGTTTTGTAGTAGTTTTACTTCCATTGTTTCTAGTTGGAACGCTCCTTTGCTTGTCGTTGTCGTGATTTTGTATGGCCCGTCCTAATTGGTTCCTAGTTTGCCTTCTTTCGGGTCTTTGCTCGCTTGTGTTTTGGCCTTGAGAATATAGTCTCTGACTTTGAGTGGTCGTATTTTGGCTTTTTTGTTGTAATACATTTCTTCTTGTTGTTTTTGGGCTACCATTCTTACGTAAGCCATGTCTCTTCGTTCTTCTGCCTTGTCGAGGTCTTGTTTTCTATTCTCATCATTATTTTGTCCGCTTTCATTGGAGTATCTCAGGCTAGGCTCCCCGACCTCGACAAGTATCATGGCGTCAGTCCCGTAGACTAGTGAATATGGCATTTCACCTGTACTCGTTTTTGGCATAGTGCGGTAGGCCCATAGTACCTATGGTAGCAATTCTGGCCATAACCCTTTGGCGTCCTCGGGATTTTTCTTTAAGATATTCAATATTGTTTTGTTGGAGGATTCGTCTTGACCATTGCCGGCGGGATGATATAGCGTGGAGAGTATTCGCTTGATGTGCCATTTTTCGAAGAATTCAACGGTCTTTCTCCCGGTGAATTAGGGCCCATTGTCACAGCTGATTTCTTTAGGGATGCCGAAATAGAAAATGATGTTTCTCCATATGAATATGATGACTTCCTATTCGCGTATTTGGGTGAACGCACTTGCTTCCACCCATTTGGAAAAGTAGTTAGTTAAAACCAAAAGGTACATTACCTCACCCTGCTGGGAGGGGTCTGACGATGTCCATCCCCCATTTGATGAATGACCATGGCGAAGTGACAGAGTGGAGGTGTTCGCCCGCTTGATGTATCATAGGTGTGTACTTTTGGCACTGTTCACACATCTTGACGTAATCGGCGGCTTCCTTCTTCATAGTGAGCCAATAATAACCTGCACGAATAATGCATCTGACGAGGGCTCGGTTGCCTATATGGGCACCACAGTGGCCTTCTTGTACTTCTTCGAGCACGCCCCCGGTTTGATTCGGCCCTAAGCATTTCGCTAAGGGCCCCCCAAATGTTCTCTTGTACAGGCCGTGATTTATGATGCTGTACCTGGCTGCTTGCATTCGAAGATTTTTGGCTTCCTTTTTGTCTTATGGGAGTACTCTCTCCTGCAAGTATGTTATGATGCGGTTGGGCCAGTCCCAAGTCAAATTTATAGAGTGTACCTCAAGTTGGTCTATTGACGAGTGAAGGTGGGTGACCACGTTCTCTTTGGTGATGTTTTTGGTAGTTGCTGCTAACTTGGCGAGGCCATCTACCTCGATATTTTGTGCTCGAGGTATCTGGTCGAGCCGACATTCATCGAATTTTGGCAGTAATTTATGAATTTCTGCCTGGTACTTTTGTAACCTCTGTTCTTTGATTTGGAAAGTCCATATGACTTAGTTGACAATGAGTTGTGAGTCACATCTGAGGACGACTCGTCGTGCTCCGTATTTGAGAGCTAGCTTTAATCATGTAATTACGGCCTCATACTCGGCCTCATTGTTAGTCATATCGAGGCACCGTATGGATTGGCAGATAACTTCGCCTGTTGGGACATCGAGCACGAGTCCCAGTCCAGATCCTGACGCGTTGGATGTGCCATCGGTGTGTAGGACCCATAGGTCGGGTAGCCAGGAGGGGTACGAGAGGCCTTTTGCTCGACCTCGGGCATTATTCGTACTGAAATCGGCGACGAAGTCGGTGAGTACCTGCAATTTTATCGATGTTCGCGGCTGATATGTTATATCGTGCTCGTTTAGTTCTATGGCCCACTTGGCCAGTCTTCCCGACAATTCGGGTTTATGTAGGAAGATCCGCATGGGGAAGGTCATTACCACCGATATGGATGGCACTAAAAATAGGGTCTAAGCTTTCGTGAAGCTATAACCAATGCTAAGGCCAATTTCTCGAGGTGGGGGTACCTCGTTTCGGCGTCGACAAGGGTTTTGCTAATATAATAAATTAGAGATTGCGTACCTTTGTTTTCGCGGACCAACACAACACTTACCGCGACTTCCGAGACGGCCAAGTATATTAGAAGGCGTTCGCCAGGTTCTGCTTTGGCGAGCCGTGGAGGCGAAGACAAGTATGCTTTTAGTTCCTCAAGGCATTGATGCATTCTGAATTCTACTGGAGCCCATTATCTTTTCTCAGCACATTGAAGAATTTATGGCATATGTCGGATGACTGTGAGATGAACCTCGACAGGGCAGCTATACGACCAGTAAGTTTTTGCACTTGTTTTTTGCTGGTTAACACTTCAGGTATCCCTTTAATGGATTTGATTTGATCTGGATTGACTTCGATGCCTCTTTGTGACACCAAGAAACCGAGAAATTTGCCCGAGGTTACGCCGAAGGCACATTTTTTGGGGTTTAATTTCATGTTGTACTGCCTTAATATACTGAAGGCCTCTTTCAAGTGGTCGATGTGGTCTTCTTTCTTTTTGATTTGACCAACATGTCGTTAATGTAAACTTCCATTGTTTTGCCGAGTTGATTCTTGACCATCTTGGTGACCAACCTTTGGTACGTTTCCCATGCATTCTTCAACCCGAATGGCATGACTCTGTAATAGTACGTTCCCTGGTGGGTGATGAAAGTAGTTTTTTCCTGGTCTTCCTCCTCCATGAGGATTTGGTTATAACCCGAGTAAGCATCCAAGAAGCTTAACAATTCGTGCCCCGCTGTTGCGTCAATGAGCTGGTCGACGTGACGCAATGGAAAGGAGCCTTTTGGGCACGTCTTGTTTAGGTCTGTGAAATTCACGCACAAAAGCACAATACATCACTTGTTAGATGGATAGGACCCCTCCATCCTTAATAAGATGTCTCAGGTTTGAGCCTTATAACGAAAATATCCTAGAATGGAGCCACTCTCCCATTTAATGAGTCTCATACAAAGCAAAATTCAGATTAATCGGGGTCGTAATACTGCATCGGTAAAAAACAAAAAGCAAAAGATAGACTTTAATTAGTTAAAATAATGGGCCGGACGTGACATCCCATGTAAGCCCAATTTTGGCCCAAAAACAAGTAAATAGCACGGTATAGCCAGTTTTCGGACTGGTCATTCAAAAATAGCCAGCGTTTATGAAGTCAATGAAAAATAGCCACTATTTTGCTGCAACAGAGACCGGTCCAGCATAATATACTGGAGTTCAGTGCACCTGTATATGAACTCCAGCATATTATGCTGGACCGGTATACTTTGCTGACTCCAGTATAATATACTGGAGACTGGAGCACCGGTGCTACAAACTCCAGTATATTATACTGGACAATTATACTTGCTGGAATTCTAGTATATTATGTTGGAGTTCTAGTGTAAGTTATGTTGGAACTCCATTATATTATGCTGGAGTTCCAGCATACTTATCCTGGAACTCTAGTATAATATGCTGGAGTTCAAGCATACTTATGCTAGAACTCCAGTATAATATACTGGCGTATTTTCTGGGTTTTGAACAATGTTTTCGCTCAAATTTATCTTTACATAAAAAATGGCTAAATTTCGATTACTTTTGAAACTGGGCTATTTTTGAATGACCAGTTGTAAATCTGGCTATTTTTGAATTTCTCCCCAAAAACAACAGCCGAAGCCTAGTCAGCCCCACTTCAAAATCCAGCTCAAATCCCAACTGTCAATCACTTTGCGAAAGTCCCCTAATCAACGGCTCAGATTAACTCCTCCAAATTGAAAAAAAAGGAAAATTAAAAATCCTAAATTTTCTCCCCTCCTCTCAATTCAAAAGTCCAAAACTTCCCCACAAAAAAGCTCTCCTTTCTCTCAATTATTAAATCCCCATTCAGAAAATCGAAAAACTCCCTCATTCAGATCTCCAAAGAAAATACAGAGAAACAAATCTAAACATGGCGGTGGCACCGACGGCGCGTGAGGAGAACGTGTATATGGCAAAGCTTGCAGAGCAAGCTGAGAGGTACGAAGAAATGGTTGAATTCATGGAGAAGGTCTCCAACTCCCTGGGCTCAGAAGAACTCACCGTGGAAGAACGAAACCTCCTCTCCGTGGCGTATAAGAACGTGATCGGAGCGCGTAGGGCATCGTGGCGTATTATCTCATCGATTGAGCAAAAGGAAGAGTCCAGAGGGAACGAGGAACACGTGAACTCTATCCGCGAGTACAGATCTAAGATTGAGAATGAGCTCTCTAAGATCTGTGATGGCATTCTGAAATTGCTCGATGCAAAGCTTATCCCTTCTGCAGCATCTGGTGATTCTAAGGTGTTTTACCTGAAAATGAAAGGAGATTACCACCGCTATTTGGCTGAGTTCAAGACCGGTGCTGAACGTAAGGAGGCTGCTGAGAGCACTCTCACTGCCTACAAAGCTGCTCAGGTTTGTTTTTTTTCATTTGCCTCCTTAAGATTTTCTTAAATATGTCGAATGATTTGATTATGATTTTACGGATCTGTTTGTTTGTTTCGATTTGAAAGTCCTAATTTGTATAGGTCTCAGCATATCTTCTATATATGACTTTTTGCATAATAGTTGCTCTATTTATTTTGCAAGATTGAATTTTTTTGTTAAGTTTTCAATATTTTCACAGATTTGGAGTTAATTAGTGCTGAAATGCTCCTCTCTAGTGAGTAATTGACATTTTCTGATTCAGAACTGTAGGATACATGTTAATTGATTTTGGTTCATAATAAATGGTTATGGAATTTCTGTCCATGTTGCTGATTTTGTTTCTGTTTGTGGTAGCTATATTTGGTTCAATATAATAGAAAGGTCATTCTTATATTCAAGAGTTGGAAGTAAGTTGCTACGTGATTATTATTGATTAATCCCTCTGATTTCATTTGAGAAAACATTCACAATTAGGAAACTGAATATTGATAGAACCTGGATTTTCCAACAAAATTGACCTATTTCTATTTGAACATCTTGGGCAAGTGCATAAATGTAATCTTGAAAGATAAAGTGGATATAGGAAGTTGTGTTGCGATCTGTCTAGCTGTAAATATCTTTGGATTTCTTCCACCCTTTTTTGGTTATGTTCAGTTTTCCTCATTTTCTATAATGCTTGTAGGACATTGCTACTACTGAACTTGCCCCAACACATCCCATCCGACTTGGACTGGCTCTTAACTTCTCTGTGTTTTACTATGAGATCTTGAACTCTCCTGACCGCGCTTGCAATCTTGCTAAACAGGTACGTTTTTATCTCGTATAGCTCAGATATTCTTATTTTCAGAACATTTTCATATTTGTCAAGGCCTTTTGTTTGCTCAGAAGTCAGATATATCTTCTTTTTGCATCTCAGCTGTTAAAGAAGTATCTTCCTTCTGATATCATGTACTTTACATGGACAGGCCTTTGATGAAGCAATTGCTGAGTTGGATACATTGGGCGAGGAGTCTTACAAGGATAGCACTTTGATCATGCAACTTCTTCGTGACAATCTCACTCTCTGGACATCTGATATGCAGGTAATAATCTAACTCTTACAAATGCTTCCAGTATCATGATTGTTTCCTAGTCTATACAACAACAGCTATATTAGTAGGATTCATGGCTTTCACTTCACAAAGTTTGTTTGATTCAGTATCAATGACATTCATGATTCTACTTTGATGCAGGATGATGGGGCTGATGAAATCAAGGAAGATCCCAAACCTGATGAATCCAAAAATTGAAGGAATTGAAACTCTCTAATTTGCTTTTCACTTCTTCCTGGTTGTTTTTATTGGAAGAAGCTGATTATCGTTATTTCCTTACTATTATGGTTTTCAACTAGGGGGTTGTCTTCTTATTGGAAATGAACAACTTTAATATTGATGTTTCAGAAGTTCCATCTTTAATTTAATGTGGTTTTCTGGTGGTTAGTTTTCTTCTAAAGCGTTTGACTTGTTATTGTGCACTGGATATATCAAATACATCTGAAGTGAAACCCAACAATGGTAATCAAGCTTTCTATGTCTGTCTCTCATTCATTCTTTTTTTGTTTTGCTAATGAAAGGCAATCTTACTGAAAGTAAAGCGCTAAGTCAGATTATTACATAAGGGAACTGAATGTATAATTACAGTTTCCCTAGTCTCATCGTAAATCAATGGTAAAGTAAAGAAAGGAGGTAGGGCAAGAGCTTCTTGCTTATTCTTTTTTCCATGTGCCGTTTGATAGGTAGTTGCAAATTTAATGGTTCTCTGGTCATTCGTCTAATTTATGGCAAGAGCAATAGCATCAACTTGAGCCATTCACCTTTGCGTTCATGCTTTTTGGTCCATTATACGTGCCTTTATGCTTTTTGGTTGAATGGGTAATGTAAGGCCCCGTGAAGATTTCTACTCAAAAACCCGAATCTCTTGGTGCTAAGTTAGGAACGTGCCACGGTTCAGACCCTTTTGGACTGGCCTATGCACAAAAAAATCAAGAAATAATGTTTTCCAGAAAAGTGCGGTTATGCGGTCGGGAATGCGGTCGCATATCAAGTATGCGGACCGCATAGTCGCCGCAAAGTGAGTCAGTATGTTGGTCAAATTTGAGGTCAACTATGCGGTCAATTATGCGATCGCATAACCGATATGTGGACCACATAGTCGTCGCATAATTCCCTTGAGATTTTGTAAGGGGCAGTTCTGTGGTGCATTATGCGATCGCAGAACGGGTATGCGGACCGCATCTCTGCCGCATACCCAGACAGAGTGTTCAGGTTTTGGGGAGCAGTTTTGCGGTCCATTATGCGGGCTGCATGTCAACATTGCGATCGCAAATGCGATCGCAGATCTGACTCGGGGCTCCTATTTTCTAATTTTTAAAACCCGACCCTATTCCATTAAAACACCCCATCCGATCTTCTCTATGTCATTTTTACTGAAAATAGAGTGAGAAAGGAGTTCTAGAGAGAGAAGAGGTGACCTTCATCTAATCCCCACCAAACTCTTACCCCAAAATCTTGAAGATTGTCAAGAAAGTTGCTAGGTCTTCACCTTAAAGAGTTAAGAACTTGCTCCATAATCTGTAATTTTGGGATTCTATTTAAAAATAGGTGATTAACAATTGAGTTCTTGGGTAAGAGGGCTAATAGTCTTGCATGCATAAGAGACAATGGGGTATGAGGAAGATGAGAACTAAAAGGATAACAATTGGAGTATAACATTGAAGAAATCACTTACACAAGGGACCTAAGATCATAATGCACCTTTTTGTGTTTGATAATATGCTCAAGCGAGCTAGAATCCTACTCTCATCTCTAATTCTTGGTTCAATTGTAATTCTTATGCAATAGATGAAGTGCTAAAAGTCCCGGAAATTTATAAGAATTAGATAAAGCTTTATTGAGGTATGTATGGCTAAAACTCCCTCCTCTTAGAAATTGAGCTTCCATGGTGCCCGTTAAGTGTTGTAAGTTCGAAACGTGACTGATGCAATGCTTGTTATGTTAAGTGAATTGATGTTGTGAAAATGTATGTGGTAAGTACTTCTTTATGTGTTTAATGTGCTATTTCTTGTAAATGGAAGAAGTGTGGAGAACATGAGTTATGTGCTAAATGCCTAACTGTCATGCCAAGGTTACTTTGGAACTAACATGCCAAACTTGTTGAATTTCCTTCTATGCTTATGACTTAAATTGCTTTTGTATATGCCTATGACTTTAAGTGGCAAGGTAAATGTTGGAAATGGGAACAATGTGAAACGTGAGTTATGAAACGTGGAAATTGTGGCCCCAAGCACGGGTAAACTAATACATGTGTAGCTAAAGATTGGTGTGAGATGAATAACAGAANGCTCACAGAAGCGGTGGTAATATGGATAATGATGCAACAGTGTGGGATGCTCCAATCTAAAATTGCAAGAACTATGTAAAAATCATGTGGACCTCCTTATATTGTTGGCATGATGCTTATTTGAAACTTTGTTGCCTTTACTATTTCCTCCTTACTCTTGAATGGTTGTTCTTTCTAACAGGATGGTGTTTAGTTATACATACTAGTACTATTCCATGGTACTAACGTCCCTTTTGCCGGGGGCGCTACATTTTTAAATGAATGTAGGTGGCTCCATAGCGGATAGTGCCTATCGTGTGTAGCAGAGCATCCTTTTCTCAAAATCTTTGTGAGCCCCTTCCTCCTTCAAGGGGTCATGTGGTACACCTTTTGTTATAGACATCCATTTTGAGGTATAGCGGGGGCCTTGTTGCCTGTGTTGTTATCACTGTCTTTTGTATCCTTAGAGGCTCCGTAGACGTTTGTGTGGGTTATGTACGGGTATTGGATAGGTCAATGAACCATGTTGTAACCTTGTACTCTTGCTTTCTTTTAAACTATAACTGTATGGAATCTTGGACACTTAACTACGATTTAATATTGTGATATAAAATGAACTAAAATATTGAATGTACTATCTCTCCTTGTCTAAATAAATGAAAGCATGGTTTCCTTATTCATATTGAGTTGGATGGGTAGTGTTTGATAAAACTTGCTCAGTTGGGTTCACTCGACTGAGCGCCGGTCGCGCCTCCCGAAGTTGGGCCGTAACAGGTAATCTCCAATTTTTTGGATGCCTATTGTCTTGGGTGGCGTTTTGGTGGATGAGGCTGGTTGTTTGTACCTAGTCAAATGACAATCATACATTTATTTTAAAATTATTTTGAACCGTCAAACCTGGTAGTTATGTATGGTACAAACAGGCAGTTACTTGCTCGTAATCCAAATAGTGCAGACCCCTTTTCGCAGCGTAACGGGTAACGGGGCTACAAAGAGTATTGTGATTTGGGTTGGCAGCTGTCATATTTGTTTTATCAAGAAATCACTGTCAAATGTTCATTTGAATGCCCAGAAAATGGTATCACAATTCACAAGTGAGATGATTCAACAGACTCAGTGTGTGCTTCGTCTCATCTTTCCACGTCCTATTAAAGATCAAACAATGAATAATGTATTACTATTTGCCGATTTGATTGTAAGTCTACGATATTCATGCAGTATATTTTATGATGTAATTCAATTTTCCTATTGCCACAGCTGACCAACGTTACCTTAGCAATAAGTCACATAGTCCATGGAAATATGCGCTGTAAACAGCTGTGGAGTTGCTCAATTTTCTAATAACCTCATCATCGTTGATCTTTCGAGTTCCAAAGAGTTGAATACCATAAGTTCAAAACGTCCTCAAGCTATAATGAAAGTGCATTGGACCGCATCAGAATAGGCTTCGTCCAACACGTTAGACAGCCAAGAAGAAGCTGTTCTTGTTTGAGACGCATGAATATCGACAACATTCCAAGTAGACTTTTTTGGTTAAAAAAAACAAAAGAAAGAAGAATGTGCTATACATTGAGATTGACAAGTTGAGAATGTCTAGCCGAAATGGCACTTGGTCCCTAATGGTTTTCCCTTTTCCCCTCATTTTTTGCGAAGAAAAAAAGAATAAAACACCAATCAATTTTTAATCATTGATGTGCAACTATTTTGCCATATTTAACACATAGATTTCAAGTATGGCCATTATAAGGCAGTGGATACAAACACAAGTTGGCCTTTGTGACCCTTAGTTTGAGGATCACATTTTTAGGGTATTCCGATTTCCGATAGCCGATTGAGAGATAGGGAAGAACTGAAAATATCTGGACTAAATTAAATGTAATAAGGCCATAATATGCACATCGAAAACTTCTTGTCATAAAATTCAACTTTGGAACCAAGCAAGCCTGATATCATTTTGGCATAATGACAAGGGCTAAAGACAAAAGATTGTAAACATAGGTTACTGAACTGAATAGCAAACAAAACTATTATTTGAACTCTTGAAGTTGCACAGTCAAATGAATCAACTTAAGCAGATCTTGAAGTATGTCACCAAATAGGGAAGAAACTAGAGGTCTCTTTCGAGCATGGCATTTTAGCAGTAAATCCTAGCGATCTCTTGTTAGCTAGTATAGTTTGAAGTTTAAAGTCTGCGTACACACTATCCTTCTCAGACCCTATTCGTGAGATTATACTGGTTTTGTTGTTATTATTATTAATAGTTTGAAGTTTAAAGTATGAAAATGCAAAAGCGTTAGCTATCTAATTCACTAACCATTATGATCTATCACCACCTTAAAAAAAGATTACTCAATTACTTCAATTTACATGACACTTTTTTTTAATTTCTGGAACGTTACAAAATGTCTATTGTCATTCAGTTTCTACACAATTTTCAAGAATTCAAAATTATTAAACTATTCAAATCTTAAACTTTAATGTAATGTTTTCTCTATCAATAATCAAATTAGCTTATTGCTTAACTTCTTTCCTTACTATAACTAATATAAATAGTAAAATTTAACATCTCAAATTCAGGTCTTTCTTTGGATATGAGGGTTACTAAATACCATTGCTAAGAATATCATCAATTAGGACAGTAGAGCTCGCCAGACTAGCAATATCATGAATTTCCCCAATATTCTTCCGATATTATTGGAGGTCTTGAACGTAAACATCTCTTGATATGTCAATTTTAAGTTCTTTTCAAGACTTTTTTGTAGCTCACTCCAAATTGAGAACCAATCATATATTGTTGGAGTAAATTTTCTGACTTCTATTTTGAAAAGTTACTTGGGCTTTTGGCGTCTGTGGTGGGCACTGGGATGCTCTAGTATATCCATCTGGACACCCAAAAAACCATAAACTATTACTGATAAATGGGTAATCAATTTTGTCAATTAATGAGTGAATGATGGGTGGACAGTGGCTGATTAAAGTCCCAATAATTGGGATTTGTGGGTCGAGGGTTGACACGATATATAGAGATTCCACCTTCATTTGCCCCGGGCGGATGCAGCATACAGTTATTGGGTTTAACTGAACACAGTACATTCGACGCGGAACATAAATTTATATGTAAAAATTATTAAAATTACAATAAACTGTAGATACGAACTTATAATTTTAAAATATAATGGGTTCAAT